ATGTTTGACGTGCGTGTGTTTGTGTATGCGTGTGTTTGTGTTTGCGTGTGTTTGTGTGCGGGAGCGAGTGTTCTACGAAATATGAATCTGAAATCTGAAATAGGATGTCGAAGCTTAATGATTGGGATTGATCATCATCGTCGTCTACAACAACAACAGCAACAACAAAAAAACAACAACAAAACAACAACAGCAAAACAACAACAACAAAACAACAACAACAACGAAATTTATGATGTATACTAAACAACGACATCTGTAACGGAACCAACAACGATCACAAACATGGACACGAACATCAGAATGGAGCATGACGTCATTTAGAGATCCCACAAACAGCATGGACCAGATTGCTTTCTGATCCATAAGGAAGTTCAACTTTATTCAGAACAACTTTGTGAATCTTTGAATAGAAAAGTCATGAGCAACTTCGACCTGCTTGTAGCTTTTTTGTTCTCTTTGCTTGAATTGTTGTTAACAATTGTTGATTATATTCGTTGTTGTTGTCTGTTGTTGTTGTTGTCTGTAGTGTTGTTATTATTAATGTTGTTGTTGGTACTAGTGTTGTTGTTGTCTGTTGTTGTTGTCTGATGTTGTTGTTGTTGCAGCTGCTGCTGTTGTTTACAGTGTTGGCAGAGCAGGTTAATGTGATGTGATGTCAAGTCATCCTGCAGTCATCGGCTTCATTCTTTAACCTTCCATCAACAATTTTGTTCATGATTGTTGTTATTTTCGGTTCAACTGTTGTTTTTTGCCGGCATTCAGGATGCGAGTGAGGTGGTTGGCGATTTGTTGAGGCTCTGTGTGGTACGCAACTCGGCAAAACTGGTTGGTTGTGATGTTGTTGTTGTTGATGATGATGTTGATGTTGTTGCCAACGATGTTGATGTTGTTGTTGTTGGTGATGTTGATGTTGTTGTCAATGGTGTTGAAGAAGTTTAGGTTGTTGCCAACGATGTTGATGTTGTTGCTGACGTAATTTTTTACGTTGAAATTTTTTTATTATTGTTGTTAAGAGATTGTTGATGTTAGTTAAATAGAGGAATTATTCGATATATTGTTTCTATTTTTATTTTACAAAACATTGAATAAAATTCATCTGCTGTTGACGCGATGAGAGTTTATTAAAAAAAAAAAATCTCAAAAAATATTGGCTGATCGGTAGAATATTCGAACGTGATTGTCACAGAAGGTAAAAGTTTTGTTCCATTTCTCTGCATGCATCTACGCTTCTTCATCATCTGCTCTTTACTTAGAAATATCGAAGTGCGTGTGTGTGTGTGTGAGCGTGTGTGTGCGTGCGTGTGTGTGTGTGTGTGAGCGTGTGTGTGCGCGTGTGTGTGTATCTTCTTTATGTAATTTATATATATATATATATATATATACACCTATTTATATATGTATTTATTCATTTATTCATTTAATGATCCATAAAAATATGTACAAAATCAACTAATCGGCACATCCGAGCATAATTTATTCCATTGATAATCAAGACCTGCAATCATTGCGACATGTGATGACGATGATAAATTTTTAAATGTTTAAAAATCATTTAAATTAAAAAAATTGTAACCTACTAAATTTATTTTTGATTAATGAATAAAGAAATAAATAAATAAACTTTGTATTATATATTATATCCTATATTGCATATAAATAAATAAATATAAATGAATATGTTTAAATATATATATATATATATATATATTTATATATATATATTTATAAATATATATATATATATATATATATAATATCAACGTGCATGTGTACGTGTTAATTGTGTGTTTAAATCACATGAGTTTATTATGTGTTTATGTGTTTGCGATGTGTGACGTACGTGAGTTGTTTAATGAGGATGTGTTTTGACGAAGTGATTTAAGTTTGGTCCAGTTTGAATTGTGGTTTGAGAGTCCATCGGTGCGTTTTGAATATATACAGATGCATGTGTGCGTGTGTGCGTGTTTGTGCGTACCTACCTACCCACCTACCTACCTACCTACCTACCCACCCACCCACCTACCTACCTACCTACCTACCTACCTACCTACCTACCTACCTACCTACCCACCTACCTACCAACATGTGTTTGCTTGCATTTGTGTGTTCTATGGAGGAGACATTAATTTGTAGCAGCGTAGCATTGGAGTTGATGTTGTAAGGAGCGTTGCATGTTGCTGAAGAGCATGGAGGTGGTTGGAGATGTTGTTGATGTTGAGCACTGTTGTTGAGAAAGTTGGTGGTGGTTGTGGTGGAAGAGGTTGGGGTGGTGCTGGGTGTTGGAGTACAAAACGTGGTGGAGAGATGACGAAAGCAGTGCTGGTGAGTAATCAGTTAGTGAGGCATACGAAGGCAATATACAATTGTTGTTGTTGTTGTTGTTGTTTAACAGTGTTGTGTTGTCTTCTAGATCTGTGTTGCCAAGTGATGAACTTATAATGTTGTTGCTGAGATGAATGTCGTTGTTGTTGTTGTTGTTGTTGTTACTGCTGCTGCTTATGACGGAGTTATTGCTGTTATTATACATGTTTAAGTTGTTTGATAATTGGTGCAAATACGTGTTGTTGTTGTTGAGTTTATTGTAATCCGTGTTGTAATCCGAAACGTTGTTGTTGTTATTTTGATTATGGTTGTTATTGTTGTTATTGATAGGCGGCGTCATAATGGAAGAGGGGGCTGGCGAGGGTGGGCACTGTTTCGTGCAGACCCCGACCGACGAGCCCGCGTCAGAGTGGTCGGATGAAGTGTGGTCGCACATCATTGGGCTGCTGTCGTTCGAATGAACCATCGCATCTCTTTCCCCATTTTGAGCACCCATCATTATTCCTCCATTTCCACCATTTCCATTGTTCATGCCCATCAAATCCCCCCCTCCAATTGAGTCAGGCACCACTGGAGTCATTCTCTTTTCCTTCTGTCTCCTGTTGCAAAACCAAACCCTGACAACCTCCTTCTCCAGCTGCAACTCCTCGGACAGCCTTGCAATATCTGACGCGGTGGGTTTCGGTTGCTTGATGAAATTATTTTCGAGAGCACCTTTAACGGTCACTTCGATGCTCGTTCTTTTTTTCCTTTTCCTTCCTTGGGCGGCAATTTTATCGATGTTTGTGGGGCTGCCCGTCGTCGAGTCGGCTTCTTCCAGCCACTTCTCGACCAGCGGCTTCAGCTTGCACATATTTTTGAAACTCAACTGCAAAGCCTCGAAACGACAAATTGTTGTTTGAGAAAAAACGTTGCCGTAAAGAGTGCCAAGAGCTAATCCGACATCCGCCTGCGTGTAGCCCAACTTGATTCGTCGTTGTTTGAATTGTTTGGCAAATTGTTCTAAATCATCGGAAGATGGCGCTTCTTCGTCCGACGGAATGTCGGCTCCTGAGCTGTTGTCCAGCATGACGTCACCGTTGTCAATGCAGCCGCCGGATGTGCGCCATGATGAAAGAGAATAAGAGTTTGGAGTCGTTGCCGTAGTTTGGAGGTTGTTGTTGTTGTTGTGGTTGAGCATTGCGTAGGACATCTGCAACTGTTCCAGGGTGGCGGATGGATTGGTCGACGAAACATGTTGAGGCGTGAGGGGTTGTTGCTGCTGTTGCTGGGGCGTTAGTTGCTGCGACTGTTGCTGAAGTTGTTGATGGTTATGCAACGACCAAAACGAAGGATGTATCTGTTGGTTTTGGTGATGATGGTAAATATTTTGCTGTTGAGTTTGATGGTGCTGCATGGAATCCATGTCGGAAGCGTGTTTCCATATGTGAGGTTGTATAAGTGAAGGGTAGGGAGACGTTGAAGTGAGGGGGGACGTGTTGTTGGTGTTGCTGCTCAATTCCGTCAAACAATCGGAGGCTACCAGAGGCAGTCGGTAGTAATCATCTTGCAAAATGTATTTGTTGTTGTCCTGCTGGTGCTGTTGTTGCATTAATATGTGCTGCTGCTGACGCTGATGAAACAGCTGCATGCTCGACATCAGTTGGTCCTGCTGCTGCTGCTGCTGCGGAGAAGAAGACGATGTGATGTTGTTGTAAGGGTCACATGCGAAGGATTGCTCGTTTGTCGTAGCACTCGTCATCGTGGAAACAATTTTGAAGTTTTCAAAATAATATCCAATTGAATTTACTTCGACTTCTTACTCCAAATGTTTGCGCAAATTCGATATTAGTTTACTGCGACATTTTGTGAAAAATTAAACAATTAAAATTTTTTTTTACAAAATTTTGTTTTCAAGAATATTGCACGAAATGTCATAAAATTTTAAAATTAATAAACTATTTTATGAACTTTTGAAAACTAACCAACACATGCAACATCAAAGAGAACGATTTGGACTACGATTGTTGTGCGTGCTGTCGGCACGGCTCTTGAAATATCACTTGAAAATATTTCAACAGCACAGCAACACTATCAACAATCGCAACAGGCACTGCTAGTATTCAAACGAAATGTGAAATGAGCAGTGCCGATCTGATGAACTCTCCAATTCAAACAAAACTCATTCAACTCTACTCAAGTTTTGAACTTCAATCGGCAAATGTGTTTGAAAAAAAAAATTATTCTTAATTAATTTTTTTCGATGTGTTCAAAAATTAAAAAAATATTGTTAACTTTTTCAAAATATTAATCCAGTGTAATAGGATGCATATTATTTTTGTTGAATATCCTTCGGTATAATTTTAATTTCGAGTCTGTATATTGTTGTAGGAACAATCAAACATAGGAGGAACATAAGAAGAAACAAGAGTAATAATAAACTGCAGCTGCATATGAGATGAACACCAATTAAAATTCAGAACAAATTTCCATCCGAATTATTATTACAGCACGGCAGCAGTATCGAACAGCATGCGAATACAGAAATTGCCATACTAATTGTAACTTGAAACACGCAGAATCTTCCAATCTCGTATTCTAATAGCGAAGCCTTGCCATCGAGAAATACCGCGCACATAAATGACTGCATAAGCTCCGCCCACTTTTGTTGAGAGCCATCAAGATATTTCAAATTGACACGCCCACATATTTTTTCATTGGTCCAATAACTTTGTGATTGACAGCTTTATGTATGTGTATCGAATGAGAAAATGTTCCAAAGAAAAATCATACAGTATGAAAATTGTGTGCTCTTGTTTCGCAACAAATACTCATTCGTCGTCGCTGGTGGTGGTGGTGGCGGTGGTAGTGGCGGTGGTGGCGTTTTTGTGGCCCTACGATGTGACAACCTTTCAGCCACATAACTAATATTTCAAACAGACAATTAAACATTTAAAACCTTCAATTTGATATTTCGATGATCCTCCGCTTTTTAAAACAGCGGTGTAATGGGTTAGAAACCCGGCAGAGGAGCAAATATTTTCAGGCGGACGTTCGCGATCAGCTGCTGGTCACTAACCTATTGTCCGCTGGCCTAGGCCTGTCTTAGTCAGAATTTTTATGTTATATATATATATATATATATATATATATATATATATATATATATATATATTAATTTTAATGTTCTTGGTTGGTGAGCGAATTTTCAGTCTCAGTTGTGACTATATTGTTACCGATTGATGCAGGGAACATAACATTATTACGATATGAATAATAGTATGATGTATGTTTGTGTGTGTGTGTGTATGTGAGCGTGAGTTTGTGTGTATGTGAGCGTGAGTTTATGTGTATGTGTTTATCTGACATTTCGGTTACATTTATAGTTAGAATTTTTTAGTTAAGAGTGGCCTATCCAAAAGTTTATCTTCTTTGGTCATCCTTCAAATTGAAAAAGTATGTTAATTTGATTATATATAACATAAATAAAAACAAATAAATACATACATATATATATTATATAATATAATTTGTATGGAACGACTTGACAATGTATCCAACTAGGTACGTTTCAAACAAAAATGTAGAACATTGATGCACCAAATTTTGATGAACATACTCACCATTGAATAACAGAGAATAGAATTGTTTGTGATTGAGGCGTAAATTTTTTATCCGTTAGGCAAAAAATTTTTGGTTTCATTTTTGATCAACGCAATTTGATTTATTGTAGCCCGTCTCGGTGATAATTTAACTTTTGACCAATCATTCAAAATATTTTCATTTTAATTTGATTTACAGTTGAAGATCGATAATAAGGAGTAAAAATTAAATTAACAAAGTCACGAATGAAAGTTGGAATGAATTTGCAGGAAGTTTTGATGAGATGAAAGTTGGTTCCCATGCAAAAGTTCACGATGCATTCATCCGGTGCATTGCAGTTTTTAATTCGTAAGCACTGAAATTAACGAAAATTATAATTTCTTAAATCTGTGAGACGGATTGTTATTGGGATATTTCTGTTGCCTGCCTTGCTGGGTGCTATTTTATTTCTTTTCTGTCATCCTCAACTATTAAGAAGTTATTAATGCGCTAATTTTTGACAATTATAAACTCTTGAAGGTTTCCATTTTTTACTATCACAGATCCTTTTAATAATTCACAACTCACTCACACCAGTAAATAAAATCAGGTTTTCAACATCGTCTACAACATCAACAACAGCAAACAGAATCAAAAACTGCACAACAACAACACAACAACAGCACCAAATGACCTCATCACAATAAACTTAAAATCATCCATGAAAACCATATACTTTCTGTTTTTAAGTGCCTTGGAAACTTGAAATTGAACAACTCAATTTTTAATTTTAACAAATCATAACTTATAAAATGGAAAAACTAAGTGGTTCAAATGCGCGCTGAGCCAAACATCTCAATGGCTATCACATACTCAGCGTATATGATGCGGTGCTTGCGCGTGCACATAAATACATGTGTACGTCGTGTGAAAAGGATAAACAGCCTTTGTGGCGAAGATGGCTGCTTCAAATCTTCAAATCAATGGATGAAGACATGAAGAACATAATAAAGATATATAGATAATATATATGTAACATTGTAAGTGGTTCTGCGTATGTCAGAGCTGCAATAATAAAGACTAATAAAAAAAAAGATGGACTGCCATGTTTTTGCTTACTATGCAACCATGTATGATGTTTTCGTTTGGTTGTAAAACTTGCATTGGTCTGCTCCTTCGGGTTGAAAAGCAGCCGTGAAGTAGTCGCAGGCTCATGTTTTGGATTATATATTAAAATATTCAGCAATAATTAAAAACATGCAACAGAAAGGTGGAATAGAATGGATGTCAGCACGAGTCTCAGCATTGGTGTAAAACAATAAACTCCTTCGCAGGTCTGTGAGTGAGGTTCAAAGTTGTGTGCCTGGCCTGCGTTCGCTCTTGTGTTGAGCTTTGTTCAACACTACAAAAACGCACCAAGGCAAACGTAATTTCTTCAATAAAGCACGTTTCGAGTTTAACAAAAATTTTGAAAAGTTGTTTTGAAGTTCAGCCTCAAACAACACTTTGATGTGTTTCATGGTCTGGCTTGTGATTTGTCGGTGTGTTGGTGCGCCGTGCAGTTTGGAAGGTGGCGTGAAAAATTTTCGATTTATTTCAAGTGGTGACCTTTCCATTGATGCCGAGGATCGTTTAAAACGTTCAACTGCGTGTGTGATTAATTGGTTTCGCGTTTGCTTGCGTATTATGAAAAAAAGTTGTGAATTGCAACTAGACGATCAGCTGAGTGAGTAAACAAATCCTACAAAAACTCTGCTTAGTTGCGTTCAGTTGTTTTTTTTGGATTAATGTAGTTCGTTTCATCTCTAGATTTCTGATGCACATTTTCCAACTGACAATTTTGAATATTAAATTTAGAAATAAACACTCACACTGTCGGCTCCTTTTTCGATTTTGCAGTCTTTTTTTAGTTTTTCACTGAAATCTCTGTATAAGAATCATTTTTGTAATAACATTTAAGCCATTGAAATGATGAACAGAGCAGAGGATCATGTGCCGATCCGCATCTAATCATCAGTCAGTGGTGGAACGCACTGATGGGAGAGAACGTGAGGAGACTGAGTTCGCATGCATCAAAAAATTGAACACGCTGCTACCACTGGTTTTTATTATTATTATTAATATTATTTATTATTATCTATTATTATTATTATTATTATTATTATTATTATTATTATTATTATTATTATATAATTATTACTCGCTATTATTGGTTATTGGTTGAATTAAACAGGGTCGATGCATTTCAAAACAGTGAGATCTGACACCTGGCGAAGACAATGTGGTTTATTTTCAATATTCGTTGTCGCATGTAGTCATCGCTTATGAGATAAAAAAATTATAGAATAAAGTATAAACAATGATAAGAAGTGGCATGAGACGTGTTTCAACGTCAACGCTAGAAGCGCCACAGCAAAAAATATCATTAAAAAAATTTCAAGTCCCGTTAAGACATGTTCCACAGGTGTCGGTCGGTATTTTCACCTGAGTTTATGCATGAAATAAAATTGAATTGCATTAAATTCAAAATTATGGCTTTTAGCAGCGTTGTAATTGAGTAGGATATAGCAACTAAATCAATATTTATTTTTTATTTTAAATCATCAAATGTATTTATTTTGTGTTTTAAATCATCAAATATATTTATTTTGTGTTTAATCTCAAACGTCATTCTGCACAGATTAATATATTTAAATAAATGACAAAAAAGGCTGAGTATGTGAAAAAAATAATTTTTTTGAAAAATATTTAAAAATGTAGTAATCTGAACAAAATTAACTAATATAAAAACCTGAAAGCTTTGCAAGTTACTGACATGAACTCAATTCCTCAGTGTGAATTCAGTTAATATTACCAACACAATGATCAAAAATAATACAATAGTAATTGAAAAGTGTACAAAAATGCACACAACCTATGTGTTTGTAATCTATAATATTTAAAAACCATAAATGGAAACGAATTGAGATTAGCTTAAAAAATAAATGTCCAAGAGCACCCAAAACTTTTGTAACGATTGTTTGAACGTTCACTGCAACGGCAACCGAAAATTCCAATTTAATTCCAATTAACATTCTTAAGGTTTTAATTATCATTAGCAAACTAGTTCAAAAAAAAAATTTTAACCCTCACCGTGAAAAATGGGCAGCTCTTAATTTTTTCTTGTATTTCATTTATATCATTGAAAACAACCAAAGAATCAAAACACATCTGAAAATGTAGAATATATGATATTTATGTAGATTAGGTATAGGCAAAAAAAGCTAAAGTGTTTGAACAGAGTGGCATATTCTTATTGAAAAATAGAAATATAGTTAAAAGTTGGAAGCGAACCAGGTGGAGCAACTCCTCACATTCCTTTCTTTCTTTTCTGTCAAGAATTCGTTTACCATAACGAAATTTTGCAACCTGATGCAAGAGTTACTTAATTGAACAAACGATCAATTTTTAATTAAAAATTATGCTAAAAAACCGACTAATCAATTGGAATGAGATTTCGAGATTGAAAAAGTAAATCAAGTGCCCTTTTTTAAAGAAGTCTTGTCTATGTATTGTTGCTTCAAAATATTATTTTTTATCATTATAAAACTAAAATTTGATCTTTTACAAACGCTTTTAAAATCGATCATAAGTTTTACTCAAACTTATTCTTATAAATATATGGCTTCACATTTTATGTTATTTATATCAATTCAACTTTCAAGTTATCTTAGAATTGCAACTTTCTAAAATTTGGTTGCGAGTTGCAAAAATTTCAAAATTTTTATCAAAATTTTCCGATGTTTAAAATTGAGCTAAACTTAAATTAATCTTGTTTAAGCCGTTATTAAGCAGAATAATTTAGGAATTTATTTTTAAAAACTCTGTAGTTTGGTAGCAAATTAAGGTTTAAAGAATGTCCAATTTTGATCAAAGGGTTAAATTGAAAATTTGTGTAATAAATATTTTTTTAAATATTCATATTTAATTAAATGTACTTGTCTATAGAGCATTTGGTGTATAATGTTTCCAACGTTCACATAATCTTCAAGATAATTTCGTGGGAGATAATCCTGAGAAGAAAAATTATTATTGAACATTCGAGACAATCCGAAATCTATCAAGACAGGAGAATTGTCTGCTCGAAGAATTACGTTGTGCACTGATATATCACTGAAGTAAAAAAATAAAAACTTAAAAAATTATATAAAATAATTAACTGAGCACCGGCATATCATTCAAAAAAGCTATCTGCGGAAACAGATCATTTATTTCAGTCCTGTTTGTTATATCTGTCATTTGAACATGTACTTGTACAAATTGAACTAATACGTGTTTTTTTTGTCATATTTTTATTTTCTGGGGAGTCTTTTAAATTTAAAATCAAATTAGTACTACATGGGGTTACCAAGTGAAAATAACACTTTTGGCTATTATTTAATTACCAGGCAAGAGAAGGCAACCTTAAAATTTGTTAAAGCATTTGTTTTAGAGTTGAATAAGTTTTCATTCGCATATAAAATCTACAATGTAAATAGTTTTCAAAGCTTGAAAATTGATTGAAAGATTGAAATACATTACAAAAAATACATCAAAATGCGTGAAAAAGTTTTAGTATTTACCATTTAAAATTTCTAGAACAAATCAACCTGTATAACGAGTGGCTTCAGAATCTCATGATGAAATGTTCTATATTGTTCAAATTTCGTGTGTTTTGTATGCTAGGCAATTTGTATTCTTTTTGTCGTAAGTTATGATGTACATATGAAGTTACGCACGTGAACAATTTCATTTAAGTCAGAAGCTAGGCAATCATAACATTATAATATCGGTTATACTAACCCGTGCACAATATTGCAACCATGCAAATAGAAAACAGCTGAGGTGATTTGTGCTCCGATTCGTGTCGCTAAACCGACGTCAAATTCGCCCTTCTTCAAATTTTCAAATAGGGACTCATTTTCGATGTATTCACAGACAGCATAATTATAGTGCTGTTGAAATTAGGTGTTTGTAATGGTATTATTAGCAATAATGAATAATATGACTGATGCATATTATTTCAAATAATTTCAGTTTTTGGATGTATATTTATTTATGCAATCATCTTCCACTTGTAAATAGTTATCTTACCAGAGTGTCTCATCAGTTTTTTAGCTAGTTTATATTTGATTGAAATACTTTAAAATAAAAAAATTGTATTCGTATCTTGTTGACAGTAGAGTTTTTTTTAAATCTGTTTGAAAAACCCCTCAGCAATCACATTTTTAAAGAAAAAAGTGGGTTGTGAAATTTAAATTCTAAATTGAAACAAAATATAAAATAGCTGCAACCTTGTTCGATTACATAGAAAATCTCATGCTAATGCTGAATCACAGTGCAAAATTACACAACAATTCAAGTTCAAGTTGTTTATTGTATTAAATTTGTGAAAATTTAAGATAGAACAAAATGACCTTTGTTTCAAAAAAATCAACAATTTGGTTAATTGAAGGGTGAAAACATTTTTGTAAAGCAGTCAGAAGATTTCGACGTTCTTCAGCTGCTGCTGTTGTGCCATCGTTCTTCTCAATTTTCATCACAAATTTTGTGTCACATTTTTTTTTAACGCACGTAAATACCTGAAAAAATAATTGTTTAAAACTTGTTTCAAATTGAAGACAATGAGTCTTAGAAAACATAATGAAAAAGTAATTATGATGACCGAAGTGGCTGTTTAGCTTTAATTTAACCAATTAGGAAAACCGCTGAAAAATCAAACATTAGGAATGATAAAATGAGTAAAAAATATAACTAAGATTTACCAATCACAGTAAGCCAAAAAAGATATCTTTAATGAAACGTCAAGTCATATATAAAATAACCAATAAACTTATGCTGTTTGTTATCTAGCCGAAGTCGTTGGTAGCCGCCAGCAAAAAAGTTTATGGTTAGTATTGATCTTTGACAAATTAGTAAATTTGCAAGTTAATATCTTTAAAAACTGTCACGTTAAAGAATAAAATTTATGATCAATTTGTAAGAAATAGCAAAAGAATGTATTTTCCAGACTCATTTTGTATTTTTGTTTCAGTGATTGGTGAATTGACCAGGATAAAACGTAATTGGGGTAAGTTTTTGAAAATTTTTAGTAAATTTTTATAGTGGTGAAAAAGTATGGTCAGTAAATGTTTTAGCAAAAAGTGGAGAACGTAAAAATATGCTTATATTATTTTTATTATCAATAAATATACCTTAACAGTTTATAAAAACTGCTTACTTTTATATAAAAGTTAAACTGAGCAAATAAATTGATAAGCCGTCAAAAATTGACTGAAATTTATAATTGTTTAACTAACTACATGTTCTAGTCAAAAAATTTTTAACAACTGAACAACATTCTAAGTGTCGTGGATATATCTCAACTAACTGCTTTTGTTCCGGGCCAGATTTAGGGGTAGGCAGACAGATTCTACAGCCCAAAAGTGACAAAAAGATCGTCAAACACATTTTGTAAAAGATTTGCGAAGAAATAATTAAGGAAATAATAAAGGAAATGATTTAAAATCTTTTGAAGTTGTTAAAAAAGCAAAAGTAATTGGTTATAATCATTCATTTAAATTTTACGATCAGTCAAAATAAACTTGTGCACAGCAAGTTTATCGGTAACTGTAACTTTAACTGCATTGTTTGTATAAAAAATTTACAACCAATGATTCGAAAATAATTTAAAGAAAAAAGCTTATTAAATATAATGTTTTGAAACCTGTGAAAACAACCCTGATGGCAGTTTATCTTTCAAATAATAAGTTTTAATTTTTAACTTTTTTTCTATACAAAATTTTATTGAGTTCATTTTAAAAAATTTTATGTGTTTTCCATCGAAATTTTATACATATGTACATTAAATCTGTAAGTTTTTTTAATGCGCTAAATGTAATATTGTTTGAAGTTTTTTTTAATTAGAATTAATTAGTATCAGCTGGAAAAATAAACAAACAATGATATAAAAAAAATCGTGTTATTCCAAACTATTTTTTGCTACATGTAGCGTAAACAAAATTGTAATAAAATGAGTGCCAATCATACACGTAGAATAAAATATATGCCCAGGGGATATGTAAACATAAAGCTAAAAATGTAAATTTTCGACATATATATTTTAAAGATTTATTATAAGAACATATTAAAATTTAATGCACCTGAGAGCTATGAAGTTTGCGATTAGTGAATTTAATTTTGCGTAATAAAGCTACATTTAAACTAATAATTTTCCACTATGGTGATACGGAAACTAGTAAAGAAATCATATTCAAACTAGGAATGGGTGGTGATGGGAACTAAACTGGTTTTTTTAGTTAAACTATAACTTAGTTTGAACTAAAAAAATATAATTATTTAACTAAACAATTTTCATAACTTTTTCAAAGTACTTTAACTAAACTAAAAAAACTTAGTTAAGCTTTTCTTAACTATTTCTGTCAAAAAGATGTCCTAATCATTATATAGAAAATTTGTATAACCCAGATTTTTGTTCCTGTTATTATCATTAATTATTATCAGTGACTTTGTTAATTTTACTGCCTTTTTTACTAATTGATATGGTTTCTTTGTTCGGGCTTATAGCTTTAGTGTTGTGTTTTATTGCTTTGGTGCTATGTTTTATTGCGCTAATTACTTTGGTGTTTTATTTTGGTATGCTAATTTTATTGGTATTATTTACTTGCTCATTGATGGCACTTTGATCGATATGTTACTTTCTTCAGTGTCTACATCGGTGGTACATTGGTGTTTTTAATAGATTTTGTTGTTGTTCTTCTTGTCGGGGAGTATTGTTAAAAAGTGTTGTTGTTGTATTATATATATATATATATATATATATATATATATATATATATATATATATATATATTTACAATATTCTATAAATTCTACCGAATGTTTGGCATTAATATGTTTGTAGTTCTTTACGAGGTTTTAACCATGGATATATATATATATATGTATATATATATATATATATATATATATATATATATATATATATATATATATATATATATGTTGGTAATAGACCATAATTTTTACAATATTCTATAAATTCTACCGAATGTTTGGCGTTAATATATTTGTAGTTCTTTTTTCGATTTTTCTCACTAAAGTTTTCTAGTGAACGTTTAGTTTATTAAAATTCAAAATAAACTTATTTTTCGAATTCATGCTGCAAATAAGGCCATATTTCGATTCCGAATGAATCATCGTCAGTGCTCCTTGTTGTATATATAGGGAAATATTGACTTTGTCAAGATTAACTTTGACGTTGTAAAAATTAACTTTGGTGTTGTAAAATTGAACTTTGATGCGAATTAGGTGTCAGGTTTCTTAATTGGCTGGTCATCTTCTTTGGTCTCCTTTTCTTTATTGATAGCATCATATTCTTCTTTGTCACTATTTACGATGCTAGTTTTTATTACTTCTTTGTTTTCGTTGTTGGTTAAGCGCCGGGTTGGAAGTGAGGCTGTCATTTTTTGTTGTATATTTATTTTTGGTTTATTGATGTCGATTAGGAGTGCTTCTGCAATTTTAAAATGCGTGTAGTTGCCGTTCTGGTATATTACTTTGGTGTTGCTGTCGAGGATTTCACGGCTAATTGTGATTGAGTGTGTTGAGTCCAAATGAGATTTGATAGCACCACTCTGCTTATGCATCGTAAGCCTTATAGTCAGTGAGGTAGTAGTAATCCCGATATATGAGTCATGTTGACGTGCACAGCCGTCAAAGGGGCAATTAAATTCATATATTACGTGATTACGCTTTAACTCAGAGTTATCTCTAGGACTGCAGTTGTTTTTCAGTATTAGGTGAGACGTCTTTTTATTGTTCTAATGCCTTGTATTGTACTTATTCTGCCACACGAGCACTACGAGAGTTATTTGAATGTTGAACAATTGATGAGCAATTGGAAAAAGCAAATTTTGGTTTTGCTGGACAAACCCTTAGCGAAATATGGGGTGGAATGACCATCGATAGCTATCCAGTAACTATATTAAACCAGAAAATCTGAAGTGAAACATTATGAGTTGAGAACAGTCTCTTTCAGTGGAGAGCCATACACAGGTTGTTAAATGTTCGGATAGAGGTTGTTGCAGGCCAATA